AAAGGAGATTCCATTCGATTTGGAAGGATTGATTTGGAAGGGAGGGGGAGGGAATTGAAGCTAAAATTTTGGATCCCTTCCCCTCCATGTTTTAAAACCAAACAAGGGGAGGGATTCAGATTCCCTTCCCTCCCCTCCCCTTCCCTCCAACCAAACAGACCCTAAGGGACCATTTAAGGAGTATAAAAATCACTCAATTCCTCTTATTTAAAATAAGGAACAAAATTTTGAGACGATCCAATAAAGAAAAAAGAACAAAAATATGGGGTGCATAGATTATTTGATTTGATGCAGTTTATTTAGGCTAATAAGTGCAACAAATTAAACACATGGATGTATTTATTATTCCCTCCATATTCTAAAAGTGCAATTTATTCAAATACTACATCCGTCCTTAAATATTTATCCACTTTTGACTTTTTTCAGTCAACTATATTTAACTTTTATCTTATAATTAAATATTAAATACTGTATTACATATATTGTATATTAATTTGATAAAATAATATATTACGGAGTATATAATACCTGTAAATCTTACTCCCTCCGTTCTCAAAAACACCTCCTCTTTCATTTTTTTCACTTCCAACAAAACACTTCCCTTTTCTATTAAAAAACCACTTTTAACCTTACTTTTTCATACCCTACCTATCACATCATACTTTTTCTCTAATAATCTATCCATCACATCTTACTTTTACCCATCACATCAGGGGCAAAATTTGAAATCAACTATAATTTAACACTTCCTTATTTTTGCCCCAAATCCAAATGGGAAATGTTTTTCCAAACGGAGGGAGTATAAACCTATTGTTGTATCAATATTTAATATCATATTTATTCAATTTGGATCTAAGTTTACGGATTTTGATATAAAAAAAAAGTAAAAATGGATAGGAGTTGTTTGGAGTGGTGGTAGTGCAAATAAAAAAGATACACTTATCATCCACTTGATGAGTAGTTGATTTTGTAATTGCATCACATTTTTTTTATAAATAAATATAGGGGAGGACAGCACTTGATTTATAGCTGCCAAACGATCCCTTAGCTTCGTCCAATCTCACCCACAGGTCAGAGGTCTCCATTACTGCAGCGGCAGATAGTACATACGAGTAGTATGCATTAGTTTATTCCTGCTGCTGGGAAACATATAAGGCCGCGTTTGTTGCCTCCCCTCCTTCCCATTTGTTCTGTTTCAAGCATGCAGCTTTTATTTTGGTGATGATCATTTGGTCTTCCTGGGGATTATTATATTCTGGGCAAAATTCTTGTCAAGAAGCCTATAATCCTGTACCATTGTTCAATTGATCAAGGGTTAAAAAGCACATTATTAATAATGTTTAAAAAAACTGAATACTGAAGCATATATGATGTTATTTAGATTTCGTTTTCTAATCTAAATAATCACTTTAGAAATACATTCAGACATCCTCTAAAGATTCTGAGTTGTGCTAGGGGTATGGTATTCAGATTTCGTGTCTCAACTTGGATACCAGTGCATTATAGACACGCATGAACAATCATTGCTTGTCTGTATGTACGTGTGTGTCTCTAATATGTACTACACTGAAGTGCAAGTTATTGAATTAGAGTACAAAATTTGGGGTAGACGAGCCTTTTTCCAAAGTTTTTTGCTATAGAAATTGCGGGTGTTGACTTTTGTTGCAACACTACAATAGACAGTACATGATGATTGAGTTTTTTTGTTATCCTCAGGAATTTAATACTCCTGAGAATGCATACATACATATAATGGTATGTTACTGCTAGTTAGAGATTATAATTGGTATGGAGTATATAAGGCTTCAAGCTACTTAAGGGTGTTTATTGTAACTTCCCTCCCAAAAATTATTTTTCCTTTATTTTTTCTTTTATCCTACAAAATCTTTTTATTTTTCTATTAAAAAAATTAATTTTACTCATACTAATTCTTAATTTATCTATCACATCATACTTTTTTATTAATAATCTACTTATCATATCGTACTTTTACTCATCATTTCGAGAATATTTTTTAGAAAATCAAGAAAACATTATCTGTCTCTTGAATTTTCTAAAAATTAAAATAAAAACATCCTTGGGGAGATTACAATATGTATAATGTGTGGGTGTGAAAGAAAGAAAAGATGGAGAGGAGGGAGAGCGTGTGGGGTCGTGGACTTGGGAGTCCGTTTCATTTCCTTAGCACGTGGCTCGGCCCAATCAAATCTCCGGTTGTTCGGCATTTGAAAAAGTCAAGCCCTTCTAGACTCCCTGCAATATGCCTTCCTGCTGTCCACACATTTTTTTTTTATTGTTTTCTCCTCCTCCATAGACTTGACAAAAAAGATCCTGTATCCATTACTTCGTTTACTCTAATCGAATTATTCGAAACTACAGAGTAAAATTTAAATGATCTGATTTGATTTATAATAGAATAACCAAAATAATCAGAATTGAAATTGAATTAAATATATCCAAGTTCGGTTTAAATCCAAAATCGATTAAATTTGACCAATTAGATCTGAAACTAGTTAAATCCGAAACCGATAATTATGAAATCGGTGATAAGAATTTAGGATGGGTATGAACAACTGGATTGGGGCAATAAGACACTTGGGTTGACCACATTAAAAGATTGAATCCAATCGATTAGTTAGTTCAACTCTAGAGCTTATATACCGATAATTTTACTCTTGGATTTTCGATGTGGGATGTACTCTAACAATCGGTAAGATCCGAAACTGATTCTGTCTGACAATATACATGTTATATTTATATACATTTGTGAACAACTACATTAATATGATTTTAAAATATTTACTTTTATTTTACCAATTGAACTAGTTATATACTCCGTACTCGCATTACTTACTCCCTATGCCCATAATAAATTACCATATCTAAACAAAATGTAAAATTTCCTAGGTTTTAAATTTATTTTTTTATAAATTGATATAAAAATGAACAATGCAACTTACATAAAAAAAAATGCAAGTTAAAATTTATACAATTTAGAGCACGGTTAAAATACTTTTTCAACTCCCTCTCGTATATTGTGTGGTAGGCCAAACATTTGATTCGAATTACATTTAATTTTGCTCAAGTTTTATCTAATACTCCTTCCGTCCCAGAGTATTTGTCTACTTTCATTTTTACACACCATCCAATACACTTTTTTAATCCATTTTATCTTGTAATTTGTATATTAAAAAAATATAGAAATTATATATTAATAATCTATATGTTAAAACAAATCAAACAAGATCACACATGACTATATTTAGGCTTACACATTGAAAGAATTTGATGAGTCAAAGTGCTTAGATGAACAGTTCCAAAAGTCAAAATTGGACGAATATAGCGGGACGAAGGGAATAACATTCAATTTCACTCTATTTCAACATATTTTAACCAATTTATATGTAATTTGGTAATCTAATTATAATAGTTTTATATTAAACTAAATATACTTTTCATTCATAATTTATAGTCTAAATTTATAAAAAAAGAGATAAAAATCGATGATAGATTGATAAATGTGACATGACAAAAATGAACGGATAATTAAATTTTAATTCAAAAATAAAATACAACAAAATATATTCGGAACCGAAATATATCCAAATCAAAATATATCCGAATCGTAATTTATCCGAAACTAAAATTGATCAGACCGACCTGGAACCAAATTGAACCGGAACAAAAAAATGGAACCAAATTAAATCTAAACGAAATTAAACTGAACGGATCCAAATCGAATCAATTAAAAAAACGAATCATTTCTTCCTCGCCGCAGCACACAACGACTTTCTTCTTCAGATAAGATTAGACATTTTTTTAACTCGCCGCTACCTATGCTCTTAGGGCACTGGTAATGGGAGTAACGCCAGGGGCGTTATTACCCAGTTTAACGCCAAAGGGGCAGCAAACACCGCCCCTTTGGGGCTTCATACAGGCTTCATTCTTTCTACTTCAAAAGTTTAACGGGCTTTAAAGCCCCCCACTCTCTCTTTAAAAAAAATATACACAAACATAAATTTTTTTTACTCTATATTTTGTTGTTTAATGTAATATTTTTTTGTTTATTTAAATTTTTTTAGTAATGTAATTTTGTTTTGATTTTTAATTAAATTTAACATACTTTTTTTATAGACTGTATTTTTTATTTAATGAATTATTTCAGTTTGCAATATGTTACTACAACTCGGATTTGAATGAAGAAATTTTTAGTCGCTCAAATAATTAGTAATTTCTTTGTAGTGTTATTTTTTTATGGATGTAATATTTTTTTAATAAATGTAATTTTTTTTATAAATGTATTCTTCTATGAATGTAATATTTTTTTTAATGAATGTAATTTTTTTAATGCACTAGTCTCCTTTTGATTAATTTAAATAATAAATTAATTAAAATTTAATAATTTAAATTTAGAAGATGTATATTTAAAAATGTAAAAAATGAAGGTTTGAAGCCCCTGTTTGAAGCCTCGGGGCTTCAAACTCATTTCACTGAATCTCTGAGGTAAGTTAAAATTGATGTGGCAGAGAAAAAAATTTTGAAGCCCCAGCTTGAAGCCCCGGGGCTTCACGAGTATTTCCCGTGCTCTTAGGCAGGTTAGAGAGTGCACATAACAATTGTGATTGTTATCATATACAGCATTAGACACTAAACACATTGTGTTTCTCTATAGGCGACTATGTACTCCCTATAGAAACAAACATATAGACCATAATTTGATCTTATTATATTTCCTCCGTCCTAAAATATAAGCAATACTCCACTATTTAAAAATCACGGAAACTTTTATTTTTTTTTGCATTTTCATTGATTAATTGATAAAATAAAATATTCTTGTCACTACTTGTTTTGTAGAACTTTTGACGTAGTTTTTAAATATGTAAGTTTTATTTTCCATTTGTAGACCATTCTTTAAATAAAATGGATTGAAAGAATTCAAAAAATTACTTCGTTTAGCGTAATATTGCTTATATTTTGGGACGGAGGGAGTATGAAATTACAATGTAAACAATTTTTTATTAACAATATGCCGTACATGTTCCGGTATTACTTGCCTATTTTTTGGACCGTGACAAATTCGGATTGACTTCAATAATAATGCCCGGGTAAAGTTTCATAACCGCACAAATCAAACGACCGCCACACATCATCGAAGACGTTGCCCGCCGCCGTTGTCTCCGCCAGACTCGTGGTCGTGGAACCACTCGCCGTCCAATAATCGTCAACGCCGGCGAACGTCCCGAAATCTTGCGCTTCCTGCACCACCATCGGCTGTTGCCACCCCGCCGGAATCGACCACTGACCGCCATCCTCCTCCTCCCCACCTGGCAGAAGAGCTTCCAACTCATCTGTCGAATTCCGATCGACAAGACGGCGATCTCCGCCGCCGTTGATGAATCCCTCCGCTTGCACCTCCTCCATATACACCGGAGGAGGAGATCGATCCGGAGCTGACTCGCCGGGAAATTGACGGACGTCACCGGCCGCCGATGCAGGGGAAATCGAGGAATTGAAGGAACGGCGCGGCGGGTCGTCGTCTTCCCTGGGGGCGGAGGATTTAGGACGTCGGGTCTTGCGGCATCCGCCGCCGACGGGGACGTTGCGGAGGGAGCCGCCCTTGGTCCAGTACCTCCGGCAAGCTTTGCAGAAGTAGCGGGGCTGGGAGAGGCTGTAATTGTTGTAGTAACAGAATTTGGTGTTGGCGGAGGCGCATCGGGGGCAATTGGGAGCCACTTCGGGGCTGCTTTTCCAGTACATCATCATTCCCACCTATTTACTTCAATTGCCACTCCATTATTGGACTTCTCCATCTCCACGTTTATATATTCTGTTGGAGTAGAATATCTGCCGGTATATGTATTTTATGTCTCATAATTTTTTTTTAGATTTTTTTTAAAGATGTTTGAAAAAAACTAGCCTTCTAATATTGTAAAATTTGCATTAAATAAAACTAAAACATAGATCATTTTTTAATATTGGAATTAAACTTTTTTTATTGGCAAAATTGACAAGAATACTCCCAGAAATTACAGATTTTACATAAATACTCCCAAATTTGTTTATTTACACCATTACTCCAACATTTCTCTTTTATTTACGTTGTTACTCCCAAATTTGGTAGTGATCATTAGTGCTACTTGGATGTGTCATTTTTGCGTTAAGTGAACAGTTAAACTGCAGACATGTATTTTTTCCACTCTAATATACTAAATTTACCTCAACTTATTCTCTCCATCGTCTTTCTCACGTCTTAGTAAGTCCAATTATTGCCCTTATTTCCCATCACTTTTAAAAAAAATTGAGAGTTCAAACTTCTTAAATCTTTTTAATGTTTAATATCAAGTCTGTTCATATTAATTTAATTTGAATTCAAAAAAAAAAGATGAAGAACCCCGTATAAAAAGAGGCACCCGAGAAACACTGATGACGAAGCAATCGCGGAGTAACGACGTAAATAAAAGAGAAATGTGGGAGTAATGGTGTAAATAAACAAATTTGGGAGTATTTATGTAAAATCTCTAATTTCTGGGAGTGTTCTTGTGAATTTTGCCTTTTTTATTTCCTAAATGATACTTCATAATGTCTAGTGTGAGGAATAATATCCGGTGATAGTGGTCATTTTACTTGAATAATGACTAATGGATAATGACCAATGATTTTACATTAAGAAATAAAAATATATAGTTATGTATTGAAAAAATCATTATGTTTTCGTACTATTTAAATAAATTCTCTTTCAATACTTAAACTATATACGGATATTAATAGCATGTTCCTATATAATTAATTATTCATCTTCATTTATGGTGAAATGGATAATTTTGTGGTTAAAACACATAGAAAGGAAAGAAATCACCCTAAATAGGATTAAAACATGGAGAAAAGTACCAAAATAGGACTTTCATGTTTTTTTCCCCTAAGTAGGACTTTGCACTGTGGTAATGTGAGTATGTGACTTTGCTTTGTGGTAATGTGGCAGTGTACATGTACAAATTAATATACGTTTTTTGGTAATATACATGACCATGTATGGTAATGTAAGTCCTATTTCGGGAATAAAAACATGGAAGTCCTATTTTGGTATATTTTCAATGTTTTAATCTTACTTTGGTCTTTCTCCTAGAAAGGATACTATCTTAGACACGGAGTAATTTTTAAGGATGAATTTGTCCTTTTATCATAAATAGAGTAGAAACATAGAAATAAAAAGAAAAATAACCTCAAACACAAAGATTTCTTGTGAGCTATGATTCTTTTTTATCATTGAAAAAGAAGAAGATGAACCACATCTTCTAAGGCATCTCAAAACCGGCTAAAGTCGTCTCACAAGAAAAAAAATTGAATTGTAATCAATCACACTATCACAGACTAACTGGGACTAGTCTGGGCCGTGCATAATTAAAGCCCCGTTTGGCATCAACGTTAAATGTTAGTGTTAACATTTTAAAAATCATATCTGATGGTAGCTAGCCATTAGTGTTAATATTTTCAAAATTAATCTCAACCATTAAAATTTAGTCAGTTAAGTAATTTACACCATCAAATATTTAATTAAATAAATTTAATTAATTAATTCATGTGACCACTAAAGATTTGTGAATTGTTATACTCTTTCTGTTAATTAATTCCTATGTCACTTTACTTTTTGGGTAACCTAAATCCATAAATTTCTTTTTCATTTTTTAATTTGGCAAAAAAATATTAATGGACGTATCATTATACTTTCATCAATTTTTATTTATACAATTTAGTTTATTTCATCACATCAAAGAAACTATATAAAAGTTTCTTACAATTTTCAATTTTTCTTAATTTTCGTGTCAAATTAAAATGGGAAAGAAATTTTTTGGAATTGACTTAAAAAGGCATTTTAGGATGCTATAAATGTGAGCATGGTTGTAAATATTGTTCCATTTGAGTTGAAAAATGTGGTCAAACATTATAGAGGTGAGGACATCACAAAATGGTGGGAGATAAAAATATCTAAATTAGGCTTCTTCTGTTATGGGTTGTAATCTCTTATTTTGGATGCCAATGTATTTACTACTCTACCCTCTCGAATCTCGATCTACCAAGACTGTGTTTTTGAGTTTGTTTTGAAATTGCTCTTTTTGGTCGATCATACCTCAAGCTAGTAATACATGGGCATCCACAACAACATTGAATCCCACTTTTATCCTTTGTATAAGGACAACTGTTTAATTAAAACATAAATATACTCACTAGTCTCCATATTAAATTAAAACTTTTAATATTTTTATACAAAACCTAGACCTACTTCACTATATATTAATTTTTTCAACATAGATTCCTTATCAACTTTTCAATAAATTATCATTCATACTTAAAATTGTGTGGTACAGAAAGGATCAATAATATATAATGTCAAAACAAAATTAATTGATTGGGGCACACTAATTCAATAATTTGAACCCCACTTTGTACACCACCCATGGATCCGACATTCATTCTTATGAGGTGGATGGAAAATGAATGGAATATAAAAAAAATATGCCAATAATGCTAGGTGTACACCATGCTAATGCAAATTATATGGTTACAATCGAATATATTGTAGATGATGGTGACAAACTTGTAATTAAAAAATATTTTAGAATCAATACTAGGTTATTTCATAATGACACTATCTTATTTCAGAATATAATGAATACACTACATTGAACAGACTTGGAATAAACATTATATTTTACTCCGGGGTATTACTTTAGAATGGATACTATGTTGATTCAAATGAACATTTACTGGATGTACCTAACTCTTGGTATATCCAAATATTTAATATAGACGGTCTCACTCTCCCATGCCAACACTTATAATCCGTATTTAAGAGATAAAATGAAATTTTCTATTTCAATATAAATTGATTGTATTAATATAATCCTAAATGGAATGGTGTAATTTATACTTTTTATGTTCATATTCAATTGTATTTGAAATTATTTCAAAAATAATGTGATTTTATACATTGTTCAGAGTGTGATATCCATTATGAGATTGAAGAAGTAGGGAGTATTTTTTTCTCGTACTTGAAGTACCCTTTAATGATTACCTTAGAATTCTAAAGCACAAAGTGGTGATATTGTTAAAAATTAAATTTGAAGGGCAAGATTCTTACAAGATTCTTATTTTTTTAAAAAAAATGTCAGATTCCTTAAATTATTTTAAATGCTTCCTAGATTTTTATATAATTCTGAAAGTGCTTATATCCCTAAATCGAAAAAATAAAAACCTTTTAAGCATTCAAATTAGGAAAAATTACTCAAAATAATCCCAACTTTACCCGGTTTTTCAAAAATAATCCCACCTTTCACTGTGATGCATAATAATCCCAACTTTACTGAAATTTGCCAATTTTGGGTCGCCGTTAAGTTTCTAACGGAGGGTTAACGGAAATGCCCGTTTTAGGCAACAAAATGATAGTTGGGATTATTTTTGATGAATTTTCGTTTTTTTTTTATTTTTTTAAATTTTTCATTTTATTTTTTTAAATTACTTTCTACCTCCATCATCATTTCTTTTTCCTTTTTTAAAGATTAGTCTTAGTTTAAAAAATAAAAATAATAGATATAAAAAATGAAAAAAATGAGAAANGTTCTTTTAAAAAATAAGTAGTACATTAAGACTCCGTATAGTGAGTAAAATGTTAAAACCCACCACTCCGTATATATTTATTTTATTTCTTACCAGTTTCTGTTGAATTTCTATTGATTACATTATTTATTTGATTAATTTTGTATGGTTTTAGTTATTTTTCTCATTTTCATTATTTTTGATATCTATTTTTTTCTAAGGTAAGAATAATCTTTAAAAAAGAAAAAGAAATGGAGGTTGAAAGTAATTTAAAAAATTTAAATAAAAATTTCAAAAAAAAATTCAAAAACAAAAATTCATCAAAAATAATCTCAACTTTCATTTTGTTGCCTAAAACGGGCATTTCCGTTAAACCTCCGTTAGAAATTTAACGGCGACCCAAAATTGGCAAATTTCAATAAAGTTGGGATTATTATGCATCACAGTGAAAGGTGAGATTATTTTTGAAAGACCGGGTAAAGTTGAGATTATTTTGGGTAATTTTTCCTTCAAATTAAGGATTTGCAAGCACCTCCCCCAAAATCCAAAAAAAGAACTCAATGTCATAGGTGGGGGGTGTTGTTGTACGTCATTTTCTTAGATCAAACTAAAATGGAGTTTGCGAACGAACCCATACGATTGAATTTGGACACAAAATAACGATTTGATTCCACGCCTCTTTTTTTTTTTGTTGAGTTATTCCCGATTCTATTTTCATTGATGTTAAAAAAAGAAAAAGAATTTATACGTTTCACATGAATATGACTCGTTGAGTTTAATCATACGCACATTCATAATTGTGGAAGCGGGAAATAAATCTGGAAGTGAACAATAATTACGCAGATTTGTATGGCCTGAAAGCCTATAATCAGGTGACTCCATAATCGGAGCCCTGATTTCGATTGTTGTTGAATCGTGGGCGGCTTTGAAATTTGAGGTGACGCAAAAGTTGCAGCCACGAAGGAGCTGATCGGGTTTCAAATAGCAATCAACTTTTCAAGGTTTGGAATTAGGTTTCACAATCGTGTTCTAATTCATTAATTTTTTGTTACAATTGGTTGGGTTGAGTAATTGGGAAATCAGAACCCTAATTTTGACTCTACGGTGATTTGAATATGGAACCCTAATTTTGACGGAGCTTCAACGCGTTGTTTCGTCTTTGCTGTCGATTTCCAGCTAGGATCAAGATTTAGAGCAAGCACAAATGCTGGCCATATGTTTACGCAGCCACGATAGTGGTGTCAATGTGAGTTTTTGTTTGGTGGTGGGTGATGAAGAATTGCATTTTTCCCTGCTAACACGTCCATCTTGTAACAAATCATTAGCTGTTCACTGTCATCCGCCTGAACCTATAGTTACTCTGTTCTGCACTCTGAATGTTCTTGATCACCATGGTGAGCTTATAGTTTTTGTTTCGATAATTGATCGGACAATAAAGCCTTGGTCTTTTCTACAATCTGTCAATTGTAAGTCTGCGGGTAATGACTGAAGAAGATCTAATGCCTAGTTAAGTTGGAGATACTCAACCTTGTGACCTTGTTTACCTACAAATTGAGAGTAGAGAAATGTGAAGTTACTCAGGTCTGGACTTTAATATATCATCAGCATTGTCGTGTTGTTCCTCCCAACCCACCAAAGTCCATAATAACAAGTATGCAGGCGTGGTGCTTTGAACAACGCTATTGAAATGTCCATTTGGGTGAATGGTTAATTTTCTTAAAGTCTAGACTTCTTGAGATAATTGATTTTGTGCCATACCTTTCTTGTACCTCCCCCCCTACCTCCCTCCCTTCCTCCCCTGCCACAAATCCTCCAATGTCCCACCCACCCCACCAGTGGTATGAGAACAAGTATGCAGATCAGATCAGCCGAAGAGAACACAGCCTGGGTTGTCCATTCGTGTAATTGGTGGTTTTGCTCAAGTATGTATTATTCTAGATAGTTGAGATGTGTCACTCGTCATTTAACTTCATCATCATTTGGTCATTCCTCAGGGCACGGGAGTAGAGGGTCCCTAGAGAGTAGGGGTTCCACCTTTGAAAAAAAAAACTATATTCCCTTATTTATTTATTGGATTTGTTTTGACCCGATATAGTTCATCCGCCCCGTCCTAAATCCAGGGTACTGCAGGGGAGTGAGCAAGACAATCGGGATAAATCAAACTGTAGAAGTGTGCAACAGGTCACACGGAGCCAGTGGATCTGTCTGTGTGTATGTATATTAGTATGTATATATGCTTCATTTTCGTCTCTTGGAAACAACCTCTCTACTTTTAGTAGGGGTAAGGTCTGCGTACACACACTTTTCACAGTCCGTGCCTTTTGTGGGACTATATTAGGTTGTTGTTGTTGGTAGCCTGAGCAGTAAATCGAGGGAGTCCTTTCTTCAATTGTGAGGTGAATTCATCGCAATGTTTGGATGTATGTGTTGAATGTGAATGATATGCAGCAGGGACTCTTGACGACATTATTTCAGAGCAATGGTGGTTATGAATTTGACTATGCCTCTGTTCCTTTTCTTGCTGAAGTGTCTAAGGTAATACTCCCTCCTTCCAGCAGTTGAATCCACAGTTTTATTTAAACGGTATTTTAGTCAAGCTGATTTTTTCTATCCACTTCTTAAATTGCACTTGTAATTAACTGGTCTGGGTGTATTACAAAATGTGGTTCTGTTAAGGAAAATTGGATCTTTTAAGATAAGAGGAACCATTTAGGAAAGTGGCTTGGGTATAAAGTGTAGATCAGTTATGAAAATGCTAGTTATTTAAGAAAAGGTGGGTTGATTCCGGAATGAGAGGCAAGTAAGAAAACAAAAGGGTCTTCGGTGAAGATGGTTAATGATATTTTAGACTTTCGCTTCAAATTCTTTACCTAAAGTAGAAGTGTGAATATGATTCCACGACATTCAGAGAAGGAAAGTCAGACCTTAACTTGGGGCAGATGGAGTATATGTAGTGAAAGTTAAATCTTGTTTGTTTAATATCTTCAAATTAACTTCTCTTTCCAGATGCTTTTATCAATATATAATTGAATAACTATTTTCTCACCATAGGATGGGCACGTCAAACTAGGAATGAATTACTGAAGTGTTTGGTTTATGATGCCGCAAAGCCAAAGCCTCAAATGTGTACTGCTGTTCTTTTTTGCAGCTAACATTTGCCTGCGAAGTAATTTGAGGAAACATATCAATGCAACCGTGCGATAAGGAGTTAAGGATCAGTGTTTATCTATGACACTAATCACTTACCATATTTAGTAAATTAAAAATCGGAACGGATGGGTGGAGTATATATGATCATGATGTGACATGACCTTAATTGGTCGAGCCATACATCAAAAGCTAGCCGTTAGGGGTCGTCATAACATGATGCCTCGGAGAAGACAAAAAAAAAAAACTTCCCATTCATCATTGTGCAGTAGTTATATATAGTTCTTTTAATAAACAAATATTTTTAAGGATCTCCATTCCATTGCAGCAAGCTGTTTTTGGGGATTGTTATCTGCATGATGTCACTACGCATGTACGTACTTTGCTCCCCCAAACAAGCTGGTGGATTTGCCTTTGACAACAAAAACCTCCCCAGAGAGCTTAGCCGAAAGAACAGTTTTGTGATGACGTGATGTATATGTACTGTTACGCACCGGATACGTCAAATGCGTGAAAGTTATTCACAGATTATAGTTGTGTACATGAACACCACGCTGCCATTTAAATTTATTCAGTTTTATTTTATTTTATTAACCTCGGAAGTCTCTATTTATGTTTTAAAGATTTTGTTTATTTTGCTTCATTGTTATTAAAAAAAAAAAAAGCGATTTTCACCCGTTTTGAATTGCACTCCTTACATACTTTATTATCACTCCGTAGTACTTTGTAATATAATTGTATGTTTACTGTTCACATAGTCAAATTTCATTTACTTTATTTTCTTATTTTCATTATTTATTTGATAAATTGTATTAAAAGTTATTTCAGTTAAACATCGTAAGCTGAAACATACGATTTAAATTGAGACGGATAGGGATGGAGTATCGTATGAAGGGTCTCTAAAAGTTTAAATCACCTCATTGATAATTTTAAAAAATATTGTTCTGAAATTCTCCTTTTATATTCCTCTCTTGCTTTCTCTAGAAAAGAAATTCGTGGCTTCTAGAATGCAACTGGGTAAATGACGGTTTTAAGGAGTACAAGTATTAGCCTATGAAATCTTAAAAGCAATCACGAAGATAATAATGGCAACTACTTATGTACGAAGTCAATGGAGTGTGAATTTTGAAATGGTCCGCTTGCCATGATTAATACTAATACGATTATTTGTTTTGTTTCGTTTTTTAATTTCTGTAAAAAATCGACTTTACAGAAGACCCGGCAAAACATTCGGTCAAATCGGATTCGAATTCGATATTATCAGATTCAGGTTATATCAGGTTCGAATCACTTCATATTCGGGTCTAATAGTGCTGATTCATCACCCAGAGTAATCGCGTTCGGTTGACCTAACGAGTTAAGAGTCGTATTTAATTATTAAAATTTTTATTATTTTGAGATCAAGTGATCAATGCATTATTCAAAACAAAGAATGAAATCATAAAAATTTACAGGTCTACTTGTAGCATACAAAAATTGCAATATACCCAAAAACTCATATTTTTGCAGCATCCAAAAAGGTTGCAGTAGATGAAAACATTTGAAGATTCTTTCATCATACCACAAAAGCTATGAATTATAAAAAATTGAGATTCTTGCAACATATCAAAACACAAATTTGCAATAGAAAAAAAATCAAATTCTTTTTTACTCCGTATATTTTAAACATGGTATCGCCATTACATTTTTTTGTAGAATGTAACAAACGTGTACCCTCATTACATAATTGTAGCAGATAAAAAAGAAAAATGCTAGGGGTACACCAAAAGTGTACCCCATATGTCCCCCACCCCCTCCTTGTCCACTAAAATAGGCAAAAAAATTTAAAAAAAATAAGCAAATAAAAATCAAATAAAAATGTGTGGTGGAGAAGAGGTGGTGTACATTTGGGGTACACCTTTTGGTGTACCCCTAGCATTGCTCGATAAAAAATGTAGCATACCAAAAATAATTACACAATACCAAAAAAGTTTATAATACACCAAAAAATTTAGAAGAAAAGAATTAAAACTTGAGTTACCCGCAGACGCAACTGAAGAAGATGAAATAGAATTAGAAATTCCACTATTGTTCATGTGTCTTCTCACAAATTTGATTGAGTCGGCACCTAATATCGACGAACGGTGGAAGGATGGAAGAACGAAAGACAGAGGGATAAGGAAAGAGAAAGAGAGAGGGAGAGAGAGTCGAATGTTGCTGGATTTAAGTGCAAACCCTCCATCTCAAACTCGACCCGACCCAAATTGACCAAAAAATTTAACGGGTCTTCGGGTTCGGGTCATTTTGGGTTTGAGTCGCAAAATCGATGTTTAAAACCTACTAATTTTAAGTCGGATTTGAGATTAATAACAGGTCAAGTCAAATTTTTTGGCGCCTAAGCACTAACATTTGTTTGGGAAAAAAAGTTCTCACTAGCTACTATACTTTCTCTCTTCCTCTCTCTTTTTCTCTATCCTCCACATCATTTTTGGAAACTATTTTCAAAGCTTTGTAATGGTGAAAGATCTTGCGTGAAAAAAAACTTCTTGCTAACTAAAAAAACATTTTGCACGAATGGAAAAGTGGAGAAACGTGAAAATTTACACCATGGAGAAGTAGGAAAAAAGTTTGAGTATAATTTTTCCACACGAGTGTGGGAGCTCTTACGAGAAAGTTTTGATGATAACTTGTGCGTAGATTAAGTCTATGGGGGAATCAAGGGTTATTTGGAAATGATGTTTTTAATTAGCGATGATGCATTAAGATTAAATTTTAATGAAATAGATTGATTTTAAAAATGTTAAAATTAAATTATGTCATTCAATTTATTTTTAAAAAATACTACTACCGGGTAAATCTCATTTCTAAGGCTAGAGCTGGAAAAAGCTAGAATTGGATCTTCATTCATTAATTGCTGCGGTCCGCCTCTTACCAACTTTGATGGTAGTTGCAAAACATTCATCGACAAAGCAGGTATCGGTGGTGTCCTTTGGAATAGCAGAGGTGAGTGGAAAGGTGGTTTTACGGCCAAGGCTAGAGAAAGGAGTGCAACATCGGTGGAAGTCATGGCCATCTCTGCGGGTATTCAGTGGGCTTGTGAACAAGGAATTCGAGAACTTGAGATTCAAACGGACGCAGGTGAGGCTGTTAAGTGGATTGCTGACAATAATTCACTTAGAGGACCTACTCGTCACATCATTGATAACATTAAGAAGTGGCAAACTAAGTATAGAAGGATCAAAATAAAGAGCATATACCGCGAACAAAATTTTGCGGCTGACCACATGGCTAGTATTGGAGCCTCTCAGCATGCTGACTGGATTGAGCATGACGTTCCCCCACCTGGGATGGAGGACATCATTACAAGGGACAAGATAGGCGTTACCAGAATTCGCAGAGTTATTTCTCCTGAGGAGACGAGTTAGTTCGGGGTTTCCCCCCTCCCCATCTGATCAAAAAAAAAACATACAGCCTTTTCTACCAAAAAATTACCCAAACTAAAACTATCTCATCTTTAGCTTAGTAATAAAAGAGTGTTTCATCTTTTAAAATATGTTTTACAAAACATAAAACAAAATGCTAAAATTAAAATAAAAATCTAATAGAAAGTATGGGGTTTAAACAAAATTAAAATTGCTAAAGTAGATTTTTTTAAAAAAAATATACTCCGGGTAGAATTTTATACTTCCTCCGTTTCTTAAAACTCTTCCTCTTTCATTTTTTTGTTTTTCTTAAAACACTTCCCCTTTCTATTAAAAAATCACTTTTACCCCTATTTTTTCATACCCTACCTATCACATCATACTTTTTTCACTAACAACTAAACTATCACATCTTACTTTTACCCATCACATCAAGAGCAAAATTGGAAAGTCAACTACAATTTAACACTTCCTTATTTTCCCCAAAGTCAAAAGAGAAACTCCTTTGAGAAACGGGGGTAGTACATGCATGGTTAGGAAAATGTTATAGGGAGGGAAATAGTATATACTACCGCTCAAAACCTTAGGTTTTGGGGAAAACCTAAAACTTGCCCAAATTATTTACCTAGCTTCTACAATTATGTCATTAAGTCCATTGACTTTTGTCAAAAAAAGTAACTCCATTGACTTGGTGTTTTTATATGTAACCAGGTCTTGATTAGTTGGGCGGCCCTCATTTATTTAAATGTTCCCATAAATGATTCTTTATACGAGTAGTATTTTTATTTCTAGAGTAGTTTAAAAAAAAGCCAACTGACATAATCATCGGAAGATCATCGCCTGCACATTTCTTTGGCGTGGCTAAATGGACATGCCGCCGCCGGAAGGAAGGTCGCCGAGACGGGAAATCCAAGGTCCCCGTCCGGCCCCTTTAAAAGTCCGCAAGGAGTCTCAAAAGATAAGAAAACCTCCACTCCCGTCGTCGGCGCCGCCGCCGCCGCCACTCATCATCTACACGGTGTCCCCCAAGGTCTTCCACGCCAACCCCAACGAGTTCATGTCTCTAGTGCAGCGCCTCACGGGCCCACCTCCCCCCTCCCTCGCTTCCATATCCTCCTCCCCTTGCGGCGGCCGCGGCGGGGCGGTGTCCCCCGCCGCCTGCTTCGCGTCGTCGGCCGCCGGAATGACGAGGCAGAGGGAGAGGCGTGACGTGGCAGCAACGGTCGGCGAGGGTGTGGGGATTGTCGGCGGTGAGGTAGTGGAGAGGAGCGGGTATTCCCCCCCGGGGGTATTATCGCCAAATCCCGCTTCCCTCCCGGCAATACCTCCCGGGCTTTTCGCGCAGCCATCGTCGGATCACCAAACGCCTATTGGGACGTTTCTGTCGGATTTGATCAGTCCGCCCGTGCTGTTGCCGGGTACCAGAAACTACCCGGACGGGGGTGTTTTCACGCCGAGTCCTTCGTTTCTGAATAATTTCATTTCGCCCCGGTTCATATTATCTCCAGGTACCCCATCTTTCGACCTTTTCAACAATCTCCTTGACCCGTAATCACAAGAAAGCCAGCCAGCCAGCAGGGCTAATCAATTTAGTACACGAAATTGACAGAATTAGAAATTCTCAAATTTTAGTTCATTTTTAGGGCTACCACTTCCAAAACTACATATTTTTGTGCTATCAAATATTATAATTGAAATCTTTTGTCCCAATTTTAATTTCATAGTTTAAATTTCGTGTTCCAAGTGGAGCCCAACTCATGATCTCTTTGATGAGAGGATATGTGGGAGATGCATGCATGATGATCCAGATCTGATGAGGAGGAGGACTAATGTGGAATTTCACACATGTATATTGTATAGTACGAGCTCCTTCTCAAACACTACTCATTCAGTTTGAATTTTTTTGACTCAATCTAACTAGTTAAATTTTGGTCATCAATTACTTAAAAAATTACATTGCATATTAACACAAATAAAAATTTCATTAGATTTATATCTTGCAAAAAAGTTTCAAAATCTTACTCATTTCTCTTTATTATGAGTAAAAATGGTTTTAGAGATATTTTAGATACACAGTATTATAGAAAAAACAGAAGTATTTTATGAGATTGGTAAAAAATGGAGCAACGATTTCTTTTAATGAAGGTGGGAGTAGTATTTTATTATGTAAATATATGCAATATAATTTTTATTCAGTACGTTGATGATAAAAATTAATCAGTTTTGACTCAAAAAAATGAAAAAATTTACAGGCGTATGGATTGATGGGCAAAAATGTCCAACTAGGTAGGGCTTGTATTCAACATGTGGTGGGTCGTTGTGGACTAATGCAAGTGAGAGCTTTAAATATTTGTATGTACAACATGTAGGTGTTCGGTATACATTAAAGAAAAAGAAAATATTGAGAACATGTTATATATATTCTTATAATTAATAAGCATGCTATGATTATAGAGCACACATTAATTATATTGTATATTTTATAATCCAAGATATGTATGAATGTAATATATGTATGAGTTTGTAAAAGTGTGTAGGGAGAGTTTTGATTCATGAAATTATGAATTGAAAGATATGAGCTGTGTTTGGAAAATAATTTTTCAGATGCCTTTTGACATCTTTAACTGATTTTGATTTTTTTGACTAATCGATCGAACAACCCAAATCATTGTTTGGCTGAAACTTAACGTTTGATCCGAAAAACATAAATATGAAAAGCCAAAGAAATTTGCTTTTGGACTTGGCAGTTAGAAAAATTCATTTTTTTCTTGAAAGATATTCAATAATATATGTAAAAAAATAAAAATTAAAGTTAAAAAAATAAAAAAAATAAAAAATAAAAATAAAAAATTGAAAATTAAAAGGAAAATTAAAAATTAAAAGTTACTAGTAATTTTTTTAGAAATGAAATGAGAAGATAAAAAAGAAAAATCACTAAAAAATGATTGAAATAGCCAACATCCAAACAACACCGACCATTGTGATGATGATGATGATAGCTAGCTAGCATATATGCATGCATATATGGAGAGATTAATGTCTTGATGAATTGAAGACTATGTAACCCGCACAACCTGTAATACTCCGTAATTAATTAAATGTGGCCTGGTGAACTAACTGAATAGGACGAGTTAGCTATGAATTAATGGACCTCTTTTTTCCTACCTCTACCAAATTTATTATGAAAGGATCTATCAGAGTAATAAAAGGGTATGAAATAATAATGGTCGATGAGTTTAGTAAAAAATGTCATGTTTGGCAAAATATTAATTGAAGTTGTTACATTTATAGGACATGTTTGGGAATAGCTTTAGAGATTAGCGTTAGCGTAAAGCTATTCCCAAACACGCCCATAATTTACAACTTCATTTGGCAAAATATAAATAATACCCATTGACGAAACAGCAAAAATGTCTAGTTTGCCTAAATACTACTCCGTATTCAATAAGTATTTTAACAAATAGCAATTCCTTTTTACCATATCCCGTGCTAGATACTCTTACATATAATTATATAAAGATTATCGTAACATGAGATAATATATGTCATTCAAATATATGCAAGATGACACATTTGTCACTCTCTTAGAGCACTGGAAATACGTATGAAGCCCCGGGGCTTCAAACTCTCTCTGTCACGTCAGCTTTAACTTACACCAAAAATTCACTGGAAATGGGTTTGAAGCCCCGGGACTTCAAACTGGGGCTTCAAACCTTCATTTTTTACATTTTTAAATATACATCTTCTTAATTTTAAATTAATAAATTTATTATTTAAATTAATCAAAAGGAGACTAGTGCATTAAAAAAATTACATTCATTAAAAAAATATTACATTCATAAAAAAATACATTCATAAAAAAATTACATTCATTAAAAAAATATTACATCCATAAAAAAACAATACTACAAAGAAATTACTAATTATTCGAGCGACTAAAAATATCTTCATTCAAATTAAATCCGAGTTGTAGTAACATATTGCAAACTGGAATAATTCATTAAATAAAAAACATAGTCAATAAAAAAAGTATGTTAAATTTAATAAAAAACAAAAAAAAATTACATTACTAAAAAAAATTTAGACAAAAAATACTACATTAAACAACAAAATATAGAGTAAAAAAAATTATGTTTGTGTATATTTTTTTTTAAAGAGAGAGTAAGGGAAGCTTTGAAGTCCGTTAAAGGTTTGAAGTAGAAGAAATGAAGCCCGTATGAAGCCCCAAGGGGGCGGTGTTTGCTGCCCCTTTGGCGTTAAAAGGGGTAATAACGCCCCAGGCGTTACACCCATTACCAGTGCTCTTACATTTATTGTTGATTGCATGGATCGGAGTACTCCTTCTGTCATAAAATGATCTTCCTATTATTTAATTGCCCTCACATTATTTAATTTCCTACTCGATATGTGTTTGCGTATATATGCATGTATCTACTTGCTATTCATCAAACGATGTTTGAGTTACACAAATTATTTCTTTGATGCGCGATGGTCCTTACTCCTTAGATTCATGTTAATCTATTTTATGGACCTAATTAGTAGTAGTACATAAAATGATTTTATGTATTGAGCTTCATAAAAAGAAAAGATATTATTATGAGCTTTTGAAAAATATGTGAGAAGGTCCACATTATGAGCTAATTCACTCTATTTTTTTAGTTACTCTATTTATCTCAAAATAAATTTCATAGTTGGATTTTCACATTCTTTAATACATCACTTCGCCTACTTTAACATATAAAAATTAGTCCCTTCATTTATAGATTTTCTATCCATTTAATTATTCATAGTATCTAATGTAACAGTTGACCATTAATTTCTTCATTTATAAAAAACAATATATTATAAAAATAATATAATATTTCAAAATTATATTTCAAAAGGAATATATTAATATTAAATTTATATGATAATTCGATGTATTTTTTTCATAATTTATGATTAAGGTTTAAAAAATTTGACCAAGAAAATAAAACTGATTAGAATTTTTTTGGACGTAGGATATAAAATTCAATACATTTTATAACTATATTTCAAAATAAATCTAGCGAGATTACAGCTACGTAGTATTTTATTGCTCAATATAGTTTTGATGCTAGCCATGGTCAAAATTTATACAATACTAATATAAATTTTCACATAAAAGTTTATTTTAGAACGTCCAGGACCGAGCCTATCTAATCTAATCCAAGAAAAGGCTTAATTCAGTTGAAAAGACTGAATTAGTCTCCCAACAAGACTGGCCCAAAAGTGGAGGCCCAAGGTGAGCGTAGTATTAGTCCATCCTAAGATTATAAGCTAATCGAAAGCTAAAAATTTTGAGTTTATGTTTGTTTTTTTGGGAATTCAAATTCAAAATTGTAAAACAAAATTATACGAAATTATATTTGTATCTTAAATCGAACACTATTCTATTTGTATTTGTTTAACATTCAAATCAAAATTCATACTCCAGTATTTGAATTTATATTTGAAAATAGTCGAATTCAAATCGTGATCTTAGAATACAAATCATGAATCAAGTCAAAATTGTTCACTTCCTTTAAAACCTCTGGCAAATTCTTCCGTGATCCTTAGATCCATGCTCGTTTTAAAGACTTTACATTGATATCGTAAACGAAGTGGGCCTTTGGCAAAAAAAAAATCCACTTCTCAGCCAACAAAAAGTGTGAAAAGGTCTGCGTTTCACATGTGAACTTTAGGGCCGAAGAACAACTCTACATCTCTAGACCCGACCATCCTTGATTATATACAACCATATTGGCCCAAAACCAGGGTGTCACGACCATAAATAGAGGCAGACAACTGCCTAAACATGTATTGCAAATTCCACGACATAATATTGAATTTATTATGATATAAAGGATGTTGGTTGGACACTAATTGTCCCTCTTTCAATTTCATGCACCAAAGTGAGAAAAAAAACATTGAAAAAGTTTGTGTTGCTNTGAAACCTGTCATTTTGCAGGAGGATCAGTGCGAAGTGCGGTGTTGACCTGTTTGCACAAATAAGCTTCGTAGAGTTCCACAACAAGCCTGGGGTCCTTTTCAACGAGCTCAGTGTACTCTTCGCGCTTGCTAAGCTTGTCCATGTTGACCATGATCAATGCCAGGGCTGCTTCCACTAAACTCTTTGCATTGTGTTGGTGGGCAAAAGCATAGTTCAGAAGTGAGTTCTCCCAGTTCAGCTTTGATATGAGAAACTTTTCGCAATACGTCTTGAGATGTTTCACTTCGTACTTTTCAGCCAAAACCAATAGGTCGAAAGCCATGCATTCGTCTAGGCAAGTTTCAGCAGTGTACATGTAATTGACAAACGAACGGAGGACGTCGTATGATACGTCGCTGATTTTAATTGTGCCGCTGAGGCTTTCTTCCATCTCATTCTCCAGCATGGCTCTGAACACTGGGGACCGACTAGCCTGTTTTTTCCATTCAAACAATATCAACATACCCCTGAATTATGGGAACCTTAACATACCAAACAAGGGCTAATGAAATAAATCGTAAAGAACTAAATCTACTTGGGAGAATAGTACTTGGTTGGGGAAATTCAACAAATTAATCGGGAACTAGAAGATATGCTCTAAGATGAAAAGACATGGCCATTATTGAATTCATTGAAAAGAAAAGTGATCTCACAACAGGTCATTAATGGATTGATGGCAAAGATAAGTGATCTCACAATGGGTACATTGTGAGAATTAAATGTGTTTTTCAAAATGTTTAATAATGGATCAGAAATGCATTGAATATTCAATTCAACACAAATTCTGATTTTTTTATGAGTAATAGACAAGTAATTTTCATCCATTTGGAACCAAGAAAGACACATTTCAGATATAACCAATGTACAAGTTGTCAAGCCAGCCCAATTAGATATACTCCATTAAATACTCTATCTGCCTAATTTTATATGTACTTGTAACAATTCACGTGGTCAACAGAAATCTCACTTATTCTCTTATTTTAATATCAAGTTCCTATCATATCCAAATTTGCTCTTTTGTGATTTAATAGAACTTTAGTGTAGCGTTTAAATATGCTTAATTTAATTCTTATTATTAATATAAATATTATTACAAGAAAATTAGCTATAACTAGATTCAAGTCTTATAATCCGAAACGGTCCTTAAATTCAGGATGGACAAGTATATTCCTAGTATAGAGTATATGATTTTTGGGGGTTAAATTAAGGGATTGCAGAATAAGATAGGTTAAATATCGAGTATAAATGAACCCATGTATGTAAAGAAAAATGATGAAACAAGCAGTCTACCAATGCAGCAAGTCATTCACTCATTCCTATAATCCTATTACAGAAATTTTAAATCTGATAGTGTGTCTTGTGCTTGAAGCAAACACTGCCTCCTTTTCCAAGGTCAAACCCACTGTTTGCACCAATTTCATAGTTGCACACATTATTTAACCATGCTGTTCACCATTTTCACTAAAACATTTACACTGATTTCTCACCAAAAGATCATATTCTCTTGATATTCCATTTTATCCACTTTTACACCATTGGAAAAGGAATTTGAGCTAACTATAGTGCAATTTCATTTTTAGCTCAACACACTTCATTTTAGGCTGGAGAAACACTATAGAGCAGAAGAGCACAAACTAGCTCTTGCATTGGGCAAATTTGGGACAGATATAGACATAAAGTATTCCCTTCATTCCATAGTATTCATCTGCCATGACTTTTTGAGGTCAAATTGGACGAATTTTAATCATCAATTAAATAAATAATCCGGTATTTTGTTGCATATCAATACAAAATGATTTCATTTGATTGGTCTTGCAGATAAATCTCGGAATAATAATTCAGTGTATTGTTATGCATTGTACATTTTATTTAATTGACGATCAAGGTTTGCAAGCTCAAAAACACAACTTTATCAAAATTGATCCTCTCTGTATCACATAACTATAGCCATCAAGTCAACGCATGCCAGTAGTTTGCTACATCAATAGCTCAAGTTCAACTAAGATCAAAAGTTCATCAGTTATAAAAGGCGAAATGGATACTTACAAGGACGGCCCGATGGGCCGGGACGGGAACTGGCTGTGCGGCGTTCTTTCCAGATTCTACACTGCCGGGAGTGGCGGCGACCAAAACAACGTCGGAAAAGCAGGGGGTCGAATATGGAGGGGGCGGGCCTCGCTGAGGAAACGAGATGTTAAGAAAATGGTGAGGATCGGACGGAGACCAGAACCGGAGGAAGTTGACTTTAGCTTTGAGTTCCTCGATCTCGCGCTTGAGCTCCTCCTCCGTCTCGCTGGCCTCCTCGTAGCACTCCCGGCAGGTGCCGGCCTCGCGAGCGCAGTAATCCTCCTTGCACGATAAGCACTTCATAATCGCCGAATCTCCGAAGCCTTCTTCTTCGTCCTCGCTATCCCTGTCTCCATCGCCGAATTCCACTGAAGCCGCCGGTGATCGCCGCCGCCTGTGGTGTCCTCTCATTTTCAATTCTCACTTCTCTCTTTCCTTCTGCTAGTCGGTTATTCGGAATTTCGGATCGGAATTTGGTTTGATTTTTTTTTTACTTGGGGTTTGTTTGGGTAAAATGCAAGATGGTTACTTTATGTATAATCGCTGTTCGTTGAAATTTTTTACCTCTTGACTTCAAGGCTGTTCAAGACTTCAAAGTTCAAACTTCAACAGTAGAAGAAGGGGGAAAAAAATTGAAACCGAAAAGGAGGCGTTTTAATATTTTGTTCTCACTCAGTAAATTTTCACTCTTTAGCTATTTGAGATTTTTTTTATAAAAATTCACACATACTTCATGGGAGATTTTATTTTTTATAGATATAAAAAAGTTTATTTTCGTAATTAACCTGGTCAAAACAGAGAAATGACATGTATAGTTGGAGATAGTTTTGTAAATAATCTGGTCAAAACAGAAAAATGAAAAACTGGTTCAAAAATTAGTTTATAAGACCTACTTATTTTTTTGGCATATAAGTAATTATAAGTCAACTTATAAGCACACAAAAATATGTCATCAGCTGATTTATAATTTAAAAATTACTTATTAGCAACCATACACATAGAGCACCCAAATAATATTCTTTTTGTTTGTATTTTCTTGGTCAATAATTTAAAATTTTGACCATACATTATAAAAAAATATGATATGTTATAGATTAAATATTAATAGATTCATTTTAAAATATCATATGGAGTATTTTTCTAACAAATATCTTTCCACACGATTGCTTTGACCTTCAAATTAGTGTTTCGTTAGTAAAATTGATAACTTCTATCTACTTCTTTCAAAAGCTAATACCACTTATAATTGCAAATGCTCTCACAATCTTCGGTGAGTGCCATCATCATATGTATCATATATAAAGTAGAGCGGATTAATTGTAGTTGCGCCATGTGTCATGCCATGTAAGACTTTTTACCAAGTGTCATGCCTTGTGTTGCCACATAAGCTTTCTTCTACCAAATATCATTCCATGTGTTTTTACATGTCATATGTTGCCATATGTCACGTCATGTAATAATATACTATATTTTTTATATTATGATATCTTTTATCTTGCAATTTTTGTTTATATTTCACTTTATTTTTTAAAATAACTTTTTTTATGGAATATGAAAATTCATTACAATTAAAGTTTAATTTATTTGTAAACAATCATTCGTGCATTTCTAATGGATTTAAAAAATTCTTTATCAATAATGCCTAAATACATGCGTCAATAACACAGAGTACGTGTTAACCATTAAATAAGAATTAATTTTATCAAATTCTTTATAAAATCCTTCACTTTCTAACACAAAATAATCATTATTAATATTAAATATTAATAAAACCTTCAAATTTTTAAAACATATTTTTGAAAAAATAATATGGTCATGTCACCTATTGTTTTATAGAGTTTTTGATGTAGTTTTTAATATATAAAGTTAACCTTTTAATCTTGCTTCAATTCTCTAATGAATAGCATTGAAAATAACTTCAGTCAAATATTGTAAACCAAAATAAACAATTTAAATTGGACAGATGGAGTAATATAATTATAAAAACAACATTGTATATAATTTTTAAAAGTATCCATCATTAATTTTATTTTAGTATTTCTCAAAAAAATTATTATACAAATTTTAAATATATACATCTTTATATAAAAAATTTATATAACACATACAAAGTACTCCCTCCGTCTGGATTTTAAGTTCCCATTCTACACTTTTCTCCGTCCGGATTTTAAGTTCCCATTATACGTTTTCATTCCCATTCTTCCTAAAATACCCTTCTCTCCTTCTTTATTCTTACTTTTCTCTTTCTCTTTCTTTCTTTCTTTCTTTCTTGGATCTGTCGGATCTGCTTCTCCTCCTCTTCGATCCCCAAGACCCCAACTCTTTCTCCTCCTCTTCCTTTCTTCTTCTTCTTCTTCTTCTTCTTCTTCTTCTTCTTCTTCTTCTTCTTCTTCTTCTCAAAATCTCTTCCGATCCGTAGATCTGCTCTTCTTCTTCCTCTTTCTTTGGTCACCTTCTTCTTCTTCTTCTTTAGTCAAAATCTCCTCCGATCCGTAGATCTGCTCTTCTTCTTCCTCTTTCTTTGGCCACCTTCTTCTTCTTCTTCTTCTTCTTCTTTAGTCAAAATCTCCTCCGATCCGTAGATCTGCTCTTCTTCTTCCTCTTTCTTTGGCCACCTTCTTTTTCTTCTTCTTCTTCTTCTTTAGTCAAAATCTTTAGTCGGAGCGGCTGACGGTGGCGGCGAGGCTGACGGTGATGGGGAGGCTGACGGTGGCGGCAAGGCTGCTGCGAAGATTATCGGAGCAAAGGGCGGCGAGGATGGGTGTTGGCGGAGATACGTGAAATGGTCTGTGAAGGGCAGGGGCGTTTTGGACAATTTACACACAAAGTCAGCTCTCTATAAAAATGAAGAAAAGTCAAACCGGGAACTTAAAATCCGGACGGAGGGAGTATTATATAATTATTAGAAAATTAAAATAAAGAAAATTACATTAAGAGCATGTCAACCGTTCAAAATATATACGAGCCCGTGCGAAGCACGAGGTTAACACTAGTTTTCAATATTTTAGGCGACCATAATAAAATTAGAAATCTATCCTACTTAGAGTAAAACACATAAATATCAAAATAGCATTTCTATAATTCTGTGACAAAGAGACACTGTCTATTGATAATAACATTGAATTATTTATTTAAAGAAAAATATAAATATTTCATTTTAATATTTTTTCTATATTTTATGCCTACTTTTAAATGGATTACTAAGGAGCTGTTTGGCAACTTCTGAATCGGTAAGTGCTGAACCAGTAATAGGTCTGAATCGGTAAGTGCTGAACCAGTAAGAGGTCTGAACCATTAAGTGCTGAACCAGTAAGAGGTCTGAACCATTAAGAGCTAGTATATTGTTTAACTATTCAGAGGCAAATGTCTGATCAATTCAGATAAGAGGTCTTAATCATTCCTGTATAATACTTAACCATTCAGAGTCAAATCTCTTAACCATTCAGACATCTGAACCATTAAGAGACTGAAACAAACAGTCTGAATCATTAAGTGCTGAACCATTCAGACATCTGAACTATTAAGAGGCTGAAACAAACCGCACCTAACTCTATATATTCAAGATTCAAGAAATTATATAAAGCCGCGGTGTGAAATATCCCAAATATAACTATTCAAGAATTTGAAAAAGGAAGAGCCCAAATCTTTTACCCCACTGTCTAGGTTTCAACTCTCAACTTCGTGCAGCAAGGTGAAGCCCTGTTTCTCCCTCAATCTATATTCACCACCTCCGCACGGTTACGTACGACCTGCAACTCTGAGTAGAGGAGAACTTAAAAACGGCATTCAGGTTTTTTTTAAATAAAGAAAATGTGACTTCGATCCCGAGACTGTTTTCTTACGAGTCTTTATCTTCTTCGTTTTTTTTAGTCTGTATTTAATGTTGAATTTGTATGTTTCTAATAGATAATTAGTGAAATTGGTTGGTTTCTATGGATTTTCAGGGAAATTGGGCCATTTCAACTTGTGCAAATGGCGTTTCTTTGCACTGGGAACTTGTATGTGTATCATATATGACGAACAACTTCAAGAATTAGGGTTTTCTGTATGTAGTGATGGCTAGTGAAAAGAAACAAAGCAATGGATTTGGCGGCAGCAGTAGCAGCTGCTTAAGACTTGCAGTGGAGAATGGTCAAGCAATCAATAATTCAAATGCTTTTGGGGTTGAGATTGCAAATGCCAGTGGGAGATCTGCAGACACATCTGGGAATTGTTTAAGAACCTACAAGAGACGAAAGATCTTCAAAGCAAAAGGAGTGCATCCAGATGATTCACCCGGTCAAAGTAGTCATAAGGTCAGCTAACATTTGCTGTTGTGCATTTTTTTTACATCAAATTTGTGTTATTTGTTTGCTTATTCGTATTGCTCACTGTGAACTTGATGAGTGCAAACTTGTTTCCCTTCAAGACTTTGAAGGAATCAAATTTATTCAATTCAAAAACTAATATGCAACAGGAGAGCTTACCACTATTCAGTATACGCATATGCACTCTCTTGCACCACATGAGCATAAAGTGTGACATGTGTGGTGCATTCCTGCTATTGTCACAGTAAACAATTACATGGTTTTCAACAAAGACCGGCTGGATCTATTCATGGGCTGTTTATTAGGTTTTCATTATATGACGACTCTCTAATCTGTATTACAGATATGAGCACCAGAAATAATTACCTGTTCTTAGTAGGCAGCCCAATTCTAAATATGCTTGTACGTGCAAACTTGAGCCACCCATGAAGAATAGTAATTGACTAGGAGAAAATAAACTACAGTTTTACGCTGATGCTAAACAGCCTCACATTTTTACTCCCTTCCCCTTTGTTCTTATTTGGCAAGGTAATACGGGTTTCTAAATGCTTATTTTTGGTGAGAATTAGTCATAGTGCATACCATTTTTCCAGTAGCTCCAGTGCTAAATATCCAAGCCAGAGAAGTACTGCAGTAGATACTGTGTTAACCAATTTGTTGAAAACGGAAGTAATTAGGGTGTAATTACTGTGATAGGATAGCAGTAAACCAATGTGGTCTAGGCAAATCTAGATATGAGTAGATGTGATTTGGGTAAATTTAGGTCTGGATTAACGTACTCATGTGGGGGAGAGGAGGGACGATTGAGCAAACTTGTTTAACTATCCTTGATCGTAGAGGAACAAAGTTTGTTGCACTCCTGCCCCTTGCCTGGTCACATCTGCACCACTTAAAGAGTTGTCATCAACATGGCTACTTGGGTGAACTTGAAGTAGGTCCATCAACCTTTTGTATTAATCAGGAGTGAGTCTTACAAGAGGCTTTTGATTTCTAGTCTCAACTTGATCAACACTACTCAAACTAGACTTGCCACAGTCTGGCTAATATCCAACGGGATAGCCACATTTTGACATCACTTATCAAGTCAATATGCATTGAATAATATAAGGAGAAGATGAACTGACATTCCACAAAAGCACGGCATTATTACATTGTTACCAGGAGAAAAAGAGTCGAGTCTCATTGAAATGTGGTGCATTCTTATTAAGATTACATTGCATCAGATAAGCTACTACTACTAGTACTACTATTCCACGACTACATGATTTAAGTAAAAAAGATGTCATATAATGAATATTAGTCAGTATTTATATCAGTATATTGTGCTTTCTTACTAACTGTAATTTGAATGGCACACAAAATTATTTGATGTTTTTTTATGCTGTTGTTGTTACATATGCTGTCATTGTTTCATCTGTTATTGATATACTTTCTGTTTCTTATCCCTGCAATGTCGATGGTGCATTATTGTATCGTTTCTGAAGGTTACTTATATTATGCTGTTATTACTATTATACCTGTTTCTGTTCATGGTGTAGTTTGTATCACTTTGGTATTTGCTAATCATTACCTTTGATTAATGCTTCACACATTTTATGCTTTCACAATTTTTTTTCCTGCAGCCAGTAGACAGTAATCTCTTGAGTAATTCTTATTCACAAACTAGTGTCGCTCCAGTACAATCAAATGGATTTTTGAATGATCCCATTAATCTCTCCAAAAACAAATGGAGGAATGTTGCTCTGGAGCAGATATATCAATCACTGGAGAGTGACGGTGGATTGAAAAAATGCTTAAGCGAGGCACTGGCTCCACATCCTGACACACAGTGTGACACTTCAGTGAAGGTAATGCTATGTTTGGGAACGACCTTGGCTTGATGTTCAATTAGATCATCACAACTTTCTCTAATGTTTGTATTATTGTTTGTTCTGCAAGGGAAATGGTAATTGCTTCAACGATGATACAAATTGCACTATCCCATCAAACTCTATGACTTCTGATGGCCCGGCTAAAGGGAACATGGATATGTCATCCACTCGATTAGTAAATGGACCAATTAATTGCACAACTACTCAAATCTGCCAGCGCTTATTTCTAGATATTATCTTATCAGACGACTTTTCTCAATTATGCCGCACAATATTTGAAAACTTCGAAGGAACAAGGGCTGATAAGTTTCTCAATATCGGCACCATGCATTCAAAAATGAAAGCGGGACTGTATGAAGATATTCCTATGTCATTTCACTCAGATATTCAAGAGGTACGTTTTAAAGTTCCTTAGATGTGCTCCTTTTTTATTGGGTATCGGATGATTCTATGGATGTGCTATACTGTAAGCCACATTAACGGGATAAAAGCAAGAAGTTAAGGACTTTGAATTTAAACGAATTCTTTTACCTCATTAGATTACCCCAACCTTTCTAAAATTATGAGGCTACTATGTTAGTCATTTAATGATGTTGAACTTTTAGTAGCTCGTCAAAGACTATCTAAATTGTTTTTGTTTTTACTTATTTATTTCTCTAGATCCTAATTTTTTATTACTTTCAAGAAAGAGGTAATCTAAGTAATCTGTTCTGCAAATTAATATTTCACTTACACTTTATCCTCAAGAGAAACTAAATCTTTCCACGGGAGACTTCTTTCCTCCTCAAATGTGAAGAAATTTGATAAACTTGTTTCCTGGTGTATTTATTTTATAAGTAGCTCACTACATGCAGCCGGATGCATTATATTTATACCATCATTATAAATGAGTTACTCTATTATAAATGGTCGTGCCCTAGTTAGATCCTAATTCTGCCAAATGCCCACATTGCATTTCTTTATTCTTGTTTCATAGTTCACAATTTGTTATTCAATAATAATTACTCCCTCCGTCCCAAACTAATCTTCTTGATTGGGTTTGGCACAAACTTTAAGAAAAGTGAATATTGGGTGGTTGAAAGCATTGCAAAGGAGAGAGAAAGATGGTGAGCCACAAAAAGCTTTCCAAAAAAGAAACACGCTTTTTTTTGGGACGTCCTGAAAAGGAAAACGTGAAGATTAATTTGGGACGGATGGAGTACTATACTATAGAAATGTCGTGAATGCATCTTTGCCTTAAAACCTGTTGGATGTGTATTATTTTTAACATCTATAGTTGCTTTTATGATTTGCATTTGCCTGGATAAGCAATATAAATGGGCATCTTCAACTCTTGGTACAGAATCTACTGGTTTTACTTTAGGTTGATACACATTTGATGAATGAGAAACTTGTGGATGCATGATAGTAATAAGGAGTCACACTTAACAAGTGATCTATTAGGATTAATTAAGGTTCTTTCATTTGCTTCTTGTGGTTGTGGTAGGATGCAGTTTCCAAATGTTAGGACTTAGGATTCTTGTGTACTTTGGTAATAGGGTTTCATACTAAACTGATTGTGCTTGTGGATTATTTTAAGAGTCTGTTTGCTCATCCTCATTTTGGTCATGTTCCAATGTTTCATAATATCAATCTTGCAATGGAACATGACCACAAAAAACTTCTCGACGTTTTTCCATCTCATGATAAGTTCAGTGCATGGAGATTGTGGAATAACCTATGATGATGATGACGGTTTTAAAATTTTCACCGCATTGTACCGTCATATTAAATTTTTTACTGTAAATTTGTTTTATACAATTAAGTGATGCCCAACTAGTTGAAAGGGAGCTAATGATGAGCCTAGCCTCATCTATCTTTGTGAAACTTTTTTATTTATTCTTTTTGTGGAATTACAATTTTTTTATTGTTGTATGCATGCATGATACGAAGCATACTATGATTTGACAATTTTAGTTATATTTGTTTATTGGGCCTTTTGAATCATGTGCCTCTTTGGGTGAGATGTGAATTAAGTGCGCAGAAGAAAGGAAACTGGGTTCATCAAATACAATGAACATTATTACCTTAAATTTATGTTGACAGAATACTTTTTAGTGGGGAATGACTTAGTGTATTTCATTAGCAGTCTTTATTGCATATCTTGTGTTTTGATTTAGCATAATGAAACCTTGCAACTTGCTGATGTCTCAAATCTCAATCATCTGGTCACTTGTAGGTGTGGTCAAAGCTTCAGAAGGTTGGAAGTGAAATTCTTGCCATTTCAAAGTGTCTGTCAAACAAATCAACGTCTTATTTCCATTCTCAGGTCTATGACTTGTAACCTCTCATAAATTTTGGACTCGTCCCTTTCTTGACGTGCACATGCTCATAAATACTTCCACTTATATTAACTTTCTTTTTTCATTTTCGCCATAACTGGTGTGTAATTTTTAATGATTTCATTTTGTGTTATGGAACATGAATTTAACAATAACCCATCTTAGCTCAATAAGTCAGCATTGTTTCATGATATCTTCCATGCAAGAGGAAAAAAAGGTATAATGATGACAGTTTTAGATTTTCATCTTACTATTAATTTATCTATATTGTTGAAATTTTATGGGGTGAAGTGGATCACACATAGCCTGCCTATCTCGGGGGAATCATTTGTTTAACATGCACCTGGACAGCTCAAACAACTAACTACCAAAAATAGTCAGACCACAATAAGAATCTTGTCAGTCTGTACTTCCTAAAAGGAGTAATTCAATACATGCAATATGAACTCGAGATCTTTCCTGAGATTGGTAGGTGATGACCTGCCTTCTAGTGTATGCGCACAACAGACATTCATCAATATCTGGCAATATTTGAGACTTGCAAAAAGAAAACTCGCAGCCAAGTAACATTTGGAGAATATGATTGGTCGTTAGGTAGTCAATAGTGTAGAATAATGATGCTATAGCCATATAGTAGTGAAATGATATCCAACTGATAAGGTGACTTCAAATGTTTGTTAACTCACAGAATAGGACCTCGTATTGCATTACTGCTTGTCATTAACATTGATGCAATACCTGAGACTTGTAAAAAGAGTTAATCACGGAAGTAACATTTAGTATTCAGTTGTGTTTTAGTCTTTCTCGAGCTACATCTCTTCCGTCTATATACGGCTTCCCTTGTCATCATCATTATCAACATATTAGTCCCAACTAATCAGGGTCAAAAGCGCTAGTTGTAGCTGATTTGGAAATATGTACAGATCGAAGTGCTAACTTGCATTTTATATTTTTTTATCTTCAGTTTGTTACACAGGAACCTGACACATATTGCAGAACAGACCGTCCAAAGACATGCACTTGCAAGCACTGTGGAAAGAAAGCAGATGGAAATGATTCTTTAGTCTGTGACTCTTGTGAAGAGATGTACCATGTTTCTTGTATTCAGCCTCCCGTTAAAGAAATCCCCCCAAAGAGTTGGTATTGTGCCAAGTGTACTGAAAATGGGATCGAATCACCCCACGAGAACTGCGTGGTGTGCGAGAGACTCAATGCCCCTAAAGAAAAACTACACCAAGATGATCTCACGACACTAGAGAAGCTAACCGAGATGGAGGAGGGTTCAAACCGCTTTAGTGATGATGAAGAAGTACATGTTCAGGCCTTCAACGAAGAACACATATGCAATGTCTGTCGAACGGAGGCAAAACGCGGTGAAAATTTGCTAATGTGCAGCCACAAATTCTGCCCTCACAAGTTCTACCACCAGAGGTGCTTGAACAATCGGGAGTTGAGATCCTATGGCCCCCTATGGTATTGTCCATCATGTCTTTGCAGAGCTTGCCTCAAAAACCGTGATGATGATGAAATTGTTCTGTGTGATGGATGTGATTATGCATACCACATCTACTGTTTGCAACCCCCAATGAGTTCCATCCCAACAGGGGAATGGTTCTGCAAAGGATGTGAAGCAAGTAAAGAGCTCATAGCAAAGGTGAAAAGGTCATATGAGCTAATCAACAAGAGATCGAAAGAGAGATCACAGGTGTGTGGGGGATTACACGAGAAAAAAGGAAGGGACGAGGCAGTGTTAGATAAATCTGGAGGAGGAGGAGGAGGAGGAGGAGGAGGGGTAGACATGCTTCTAAATGCTGCTAAAACTCTCAACTATGAGGAGGATTTGGCTGGCAAGAAGGAGGGAGAAGGTTGACATTTTGAATGGGCAAGAAGAACATAGTGATGGTTTCTGATAAACCAGATACTGTTGGTGTTTGTTTTGGGTCTCTCTTTTGTATTCGGGGTGTATGTATGTGCATAGCCGTGTTGGATTTCGGCATATCTGTACTGCTACTAGCTCATTTTTCAACTTGTAGATTGTTCTTTTATTTCCTTTGTACCATGCAAAAAAAAATGATACCTACAGCTGACTGATACCTAACAACTCCATTGCCTGAATTGTTTCAGGTTTCATTGTTGTATTGTGTACCCTTTCTGTAATCCAATAACTGAGACACATGTTGTGAGTGAGAGCACAAGTTTAAGGTTGGAGCAAATCCTTTCCTGTTTTTAAGGTTTGTCCTTGTCACTTGAAACTTGCCCCCTCCCCAAAGCAAATAAAGATTACGGAGTAAATATAGTGGCATTCTCCTGGCTGGCTAGGGTCAAGTGAAAGGTTAGTTGGTTGGAGTACTACCCTAC